TTTTTAATTAGGCCTATTAATTCCGATTTTAACTTATACTAACAATTAGATTACTATATGCTGTGAATTCTCATAGATCGAAGCCTAACACAATCGTTGACGTCGTCAATCAACCACAGAAACAAATGTCTGATGTTAGCCTTACTAATCAGCTGAACTCATTTCTTAGGTAAATATAAAGTCATTTCTAATGACATAATTTCCTTCTTAAATTCAGATCCAAATATTTAGACAGACAAATATTTTGAAAACTTTTTTAGATGTCATAGTATGTGTTTGTATATTATATAACAATAACATATACGAATATATAGTATTTTCCTTTAATAATTAATATAAATAAGTAATTCTCATGTTTATCTTGGTATTTAGGTCCATACGTATTTTCGATTCTTGGCCTGTTCATCTATTACAGTCTAACCCGGAGAAATGTACTTTTAACTTTTACAAGTAAGTCTGTCTCTTTCAATTTGAATAGCACCAAATTTACAACAAAATAGGCCTATATTTTACATAACCTGATTAATTAGATGAAGATAATGTAACTTTAATTGATTTTAATTAATATGGACTGTTTATGTGTTGTAATAACTGAATTTAATTTAGGCATGATTTTATAGAAACATTCTAGAGTTTTTAACTTAAAGACAATAGGTGATGTGTTTGATTGAAAGTTACACAAAAGTGATTCTTCAAAATGATCGATAAATCATTTTATTTTATATTAATCAAATCCGATAAATTTTACCTTAAATGTCATTCATATTTTGTATACTTTGTATTTCATTATCGATAGACCAAAGGCAATAGTCGTCGAAAACAACAGAACATCGGAGTGGATATACCTTATAAAATCGGTAAGTTAATCTGATACAAATAAACCTTCATCTCCGCCCAAAATTATTAATATGTTTAAATAGGCCTATACTCTTTGGAATGGATCAGGTCCTGGCATATTCCCGTTCAATAGCCTGCACGTCTTCTACCCCTACTTCATTTTTATCAACACTCTACAATCAGTAAATCTTTTTTAAACCAGATTTATAGAGGGTGACCCTCCAGCCAGATATGTACTTGAATGCCGGCTGATATTCAGGGGCCATAATTATATTAAATAAATCAAATAATGTGATGCTTTATCAGCAAAGTCTAATAGGAGGATTAGGGAGAGCAGATGTTTTTGTTACGTGTAAAAATCTTTATTTGAACTCAGGACATTGGGATTGGAAGACAAGCATCTTAACCACCAAGCTACATTTCCAATACTGAGTGAGCATTTTGAAAACATTACCCGTTATCATACATATTTTCTATTTTACGTGTAGGGTAGTTGTGCGGTTATGAAAGCCCTGCAACACAAGGTTGAACAGGTAGAAGATCCAGTAGTTAGTCCAAAGACTAAAAAATATTTGGGTAAGAAGAAGGCTATGAAGAATAACTTGGGTTTTTTTTTGCTTGAAAACCACCAAACAAACCTAGTGAAACTAGGGGTTACGTACCGTAAAGAAACCTGTCCACAAGATATTTAAATTGGGACGGTTGACATAGAGAAGGAAAACAGTGTGAAAGCAGTGAGTTCCACAAAGAAGCAGAAATACAGATGACTGCATGTAAAAGGCATTAGTGTTAGCTTTTGACAGAACCCACGTAAATGAATAGGACGTTAAATCAAGACGAGTATGTTTTACAAAAGTGTAATGCAACAAATATTCGTGTATATATACTGAACCAAATCTGTTCTAAATAAAATAGATTTTGAATATGACAAAAATTATTATTTCTAGCCCATCATAGATTAAAACGTCAGGAACATCCTTTTGGATATCACGAAAACATCATCAAACAAAACACTAAAGCATTCTTCAAGATGCGTGCAGAGCTTCTAAAAGGGAAATGGATTCGTCCAGCAGAGAGGCCATCAAATATTATCCAGATTCATGTGAGGGCAGAGACGCAAGTGCACGACGATGGAGACAAAATCGTAGAAGAGGAAAATTCGAACGAATCAGAGGCTGCTGATGACGCTGTGGAGGAAGGTGAATCTGGAAGCAGAGGGAATAGACTGAATACAGTAAAAACAGCACAAAAAGATATGAAAGAAGTGTTGATAAACTTTAAGAGAGTAAGTCATCAACAACATACATTATTATTATTATTATTATTATTATTATTATTATTATTATTATTATTGTTATTATTATCATCATCATCATCATCATTACTCTTATGACAAAGTATCGATAAATTCTTTTATGTATTATTGTTCTAGGGGCCATTTTATACACGTAACTTCACACATGGTGAACAAGAAGAAATCAAGAGCCGCTCGAAAGATGAAGAGAAATGCGACGAAGGTGATTTTTTTTTTCATAATCGAGAAAAGTATTAATAAGTAGAACCCTTATTAAGGAGACACCTTCATGACCAAAATAGTGTCCCTTTAATAGAAGTGTCCCAAAGAAACATTCTGGGTTTGAACCCCGATGGAGCAATGTGTTTTTCTTTCAATAGCCAACGTTTTGATTTCAATACATACCTTATTAAATGTGTAAACAATATTTGCTTTTCAGTCGAAGATGTCAGAAAAACTAAATCAAGTAGACAATCAGAACCGGTTGCCTTGGTAAATTTGATATTTTTCCCATCAACATTTCCCCAAGATTAACGACACTAGCATTACGGAAAACATCCTCTAAAACTCTTGCTATCACCAGTCTAATTAAAGTATAATTGTTAATTGCATAAAGTAAACCCGACTGTGAGACAATCCATAGGCAAAACATGGCCTTGTAATATGTATAGGCCCTATGAATTTTTATAGGGCGTATGACGATGATATGTGTATTTCTTTTTTATCTTGACTGTGTGTGATGTATATTTACGTATTTATTTTTCTGTAATGATGCGTTATTTTTATTCTTTATCATATTTCTAATTTTATCACTGTAATATTTTGATCTTTCTTCTTATATAAATTAAAATGTTGAACGGTATATCTAGCGCGCATAAAATATTGGCAGCTCACTTTTACCATCCATGTTTCTGCCTTATTAGAATTTAATACTTATTGAAGTGTAACGTATGGTATGGTATTTTGTTATATACAATCTAGTGTAAGATTGAACAGGACCATATATAAAACAGGGTTTAACAACCACCTAATATGTTTTAATCCTGTATAAATGTTTGAAATACAAAAAAAAAAAATAATAATAATAATCCAATCCATTGCAACTACCATTCCTAGATTTCAAACTTGTTCTTTAGAAAAGGGATTTTTAGTTTAAATTGCGCACGATTATTATACCTGCTAAAGTTTTAATGTCGTTTTTTTACACGCAATTGTATGTTATATTTTTGTTACCAAAGTTTCAAACCGCCCAACAACATATTAAACAACATATTGTTATTAAACAACATATTGTTCACCGTTTTATTCACAAACAAATATCTGACACCTAAGGTGGATTGTATTAATTGAATATCTAAACATATAATTTTGCAGCTAAATGTATTTATATTATAACTCCTCGTTTTTTTTCTTTTTTCTTTCCAGAATATTTCAAGAAATAATCAGAATACTACATCATACGTAAAGATTGATACCTTAGAAAAAGGCGATGTTTTTGTAAGTTGATGTTTGGCTGCGTTAGGACAGATACAGACTTGTGATATATAGGCCTAATAAAAATAATAATGTAATAATAATTTCGTTGCCAGTGAGTTTGTCGAGCTACTGGTATTTTCAGGGCCGGGTTTGGTGGGGGCCGGGCCCTTCCTTCCCCCCCCCCCTCTTTTTGGAAAATAAACAAATGGGAAAAAAGGAAAGAAATAAGAAAGAAGAAAAATTAGTCACACAAAACGCCTCAGAGGTTATTTCGGGCGTCTAGAACACAAACATTTCGTGGGGGGGCAAGCCCCCGGACCCCATAGGATAGTGTTATTTCAATCGGCCCCCCCTTTCGGACATCTCTAGATCCGCCCCTGGTTTTGGCATAGGCCTATGTGAATTTTCGGTTGTTTTCCACCAACTCGTATCATCTGTCTTAATAGGCCTAATAAACTACTGATAAAATGTTCTATCTGCAACTTACGGTACCGAGCAGTTTTAAATTCTCTGTATCTTTACGTATAATGCACATTACATCTTATTCGACTTTAAACATTTTCTTCTGTCAACCCAGAGACTGTAGAACTAAATAAAATGCTTCCACTGATCAAAAATGTATAACTTTTATCTACTAACCTATAGGGTGTCCTTGAAATTGCATTCGGTGAGCAGCCGAAACTGTTTTTGATCAGTAATGGAGCCGAATGCGTATTGATCTCAAAGAAATTCTTCATTCAGCACTGCACTGAAGAAACAGTCAAGAGCATCACTGATAATGTAAGTATGATATTTATAGGCTGGTTTACAATTATTAACATACACTTATCGATGGCGATAATATAAATAGACCTGCAATAGCATTGTAAATACATTCACATTTTCACGCAGATTTCAAAATCCTAAATGAAAGCATAAAGTCGGTTAGTTCTTTTTCTATGTTTTCTTTTTTCATGTAGAAAAAACTTCATTGAAGTCTTCTTCTTCAATAGCTCCATTCTGGTAAAGGTCTACAGACGGATGTGTGGTTTTATTTAAAATTTAACTAATATCTTCATTTTTACTATAAGTTAAAGCGTAGATCCCTAAATATTTGACTGGTAATAAAGCCTGTATGTCATACCGTATGTTTTGTATAATGAACGGTTTGTTTTACAAAAAAAAAATCTATATGTTTGTTGTCTAGTGTCGCGCAGATATTTTTCACAATAACTTTTCACTTCTTCTCAGATGCGTCCATATCCGAATGATGATACGTCACGACGCGACGTTCAAGAGAAACTGAACTGGAGAAAGAAGCGTGATCTTACTATGCAGGAAGTTGTAGAAAATTTCAAGCGAAACATCCGACTTCGAACCCAAATTCGACCATGATTATATATCCCAGCCTACCTTCCCATCTTCGGCTGTGAAAATTTAAGTTTCATAATACGTTCACCTTTTAAACACTGTCATTGTGTTATTTCAGTGGGAAATGAAAATGTTTTTGTTTTAAGAATCCTAAACCGAATTTTGGTTTCAACACTGATGAACTTAGCCTTGTTACTCTGAGTATACGACTGCTGTTTGGCACTCAATAATGGGTTTACCAATATCTTAGCAACACAATTTAGTCCATCCAACGAATGACCTGTCGCATCATTTTTTAGAGACTTTAAAAAATGTGAGCTGTCGTGACAAAATGAGTCTTGTGGTACAAAAAATGAAAATCGCCTATAAAGATATACAACTTTAAAAAATTGTGTTGGTTTTTCTATCAATTCTGAAAAATAGCTTTACAAAATGTGCCACAAAAACTTCGGAAACTCAACTCAGAACTTTCCTATTATGAAATATACATATTAAACTTATCAGAAAATTGAAACCCGTTGTTTTTTTTTTAAATACCACTTCAGTTATAGGCCTATTTTCTTGAATAGGCCTATATTGACCTGGACGTACCAAGACTCATTTGTTTCACGACAGCTCACAATTATGATTAAGATCAAAGATCGCTGCAATCTTTATTTTCTTTCATTTTTTTTCATTGTGCTATTATGTGCTTTGTATTTTTAAAGTGTCTGTGTCTATGTAAGTTGATAAAACAAAGTGTATGGGGGACATCATCGTTTTAATACAATTTTTATTTTATTTATTCAAATATTCCGCTAGGAAAAATTGATATACTTTTAAGATTTCTAATCTCCTAATAACATACTTAGCTATTGCACTGTGTCTAAAAGTATTCCATTAATTTATTTCTATGTTCATCTTTGGTCCAATCAGTATCTACGAAAATATCCTAAAATACGTTATGATGTCATAGGCGTGTGATGAAAGCTCTGCCGCCTTATGCAGTGACAGACAATATTCAGACCAGTGTCACTGCGCATATGCAATCAACTTGAAGAAAGGGCAGTGTGTCAGATTCATTGCCACTAAAACAAAAAGTTAAAGGTTAAAGGGTAAAGGTTATTTATATTGCGCAAAATACGAGAGTCTCTATGCGCAGAACAAGTGAGCAGATGTAACTGGAAAATAAAAAAAGGAAAATCCAAGCCAGTACCCAAACCGCAGTATGGGGATACGCCCTCTTCGCTGAGCAGGGATCTATCAAAATGTACCCTGTCCAGCACCAGTTGAGTCTTGGCCATCCTAGGACTCAGGCCCCTCCTATCCTGATAGAACTACAGAAAAGCTAGCTGGCAAGGGATGGAAAAGGGGAAATCAAGAGAACGAAATAAGTGAGTTTTTAAATGAGATTTTTAAACAAATAGACGGATGGCGACTCACGAATACATAACGGTAAAAAATTATTTTGAACAGCAAATTACATAACCATGTAGGCCTATCTAGTCAATTGAATGAGAAGATTCCACAGTTGAGATGTGACAATGAGCTGCCCACCCTCCATGGCCCAAGGACTCTCTTACTAAAAGCCCACTTCAAGCGATGATCTTCTTGCAAGCTTCTCTGTATTTTTTATTTTCATTGTTTTCTTCAGTGTTCCTATTCGAAATGTTTCCCATTTCATTTCTACTTCAAGTTGTGCTTGCATCTCTTCGTCTGTTGGGTAAGGGTATTCCTATAAATCAACAAAAGAATATTTTGTTACATTTGTGTACCACATGGGATATGGGGTTTCATGGTTTGAATTTCGACGTATGGTTTGAAGTATGTCTGTGGTAAAATCCGGAAATAATAAAAAAAAAAATCTGGAAATTAGACATTGAATAGCTCAAAGATACAAAAGTATAATTTTATAAACTTCGAACAATTAATTCACAGATTTACATATACTTTTACTACAATACGGATTCTCAACTAATTTAAGAACATTTACACTTCTGTACACTAGCGAGGAACAATGGCCGACAAAGAATGTGAAATAGAGGGGCCCTGGAAAGGGATTTCATAGATGCCCCCACCATGGTTGGGGCTGATATAAGATAACAATAATGATTATGGCACCTCTGTATGGCCGGAATTGGCGCTCCCAAACTTATATCTCAATACAATTTTTTTTTCTCCACTTTTTCATATTTTTGAAAAATTAAGAGAGTGGGGGCGCCACTCAGGACAATTATTTTCTGATTCTAATTATAAATAGGCATATACAGATTAAGTAAATAAGATATTGAATGTTATTCCTTATGTTCCTTAACTCATACAAAGGCAATGGTGCCCTAATAACGGCTCATTTGAGTCAATTTTTTCATGTATTTCTTGTCGTAATTGTATTTTTTTAAATTCTAAAGCCTACAATATGCTTTTAACTCACATCGGTTCTTAGTTTTGTCATCATGTGCGAATTGGCGTGCTCCAAATAGAACTTCTTCGACAGCAGAATACATTCCGCGCCGTTGCTTACAACTGCAAAGCTGGGCTGGAGTCCAAATGCTAGTTCAGCTAAACCCTGGAAATCGCAAGAATGGTTATTTAATTAATTAATAATATGATTGTTTCCATTAATAACGATATGAATAAATTTAATAATAATGATAATCATGATTATAATGATTACGATCAGGATGGCGATGACGACGAAAATAATTGTATTATAGCATTCAGTATATATTATCTTTGCGAGAAGAAAAGAAATTTCTTGCGTAGGGAATTATTTCAGTCATTATGACGTGATAAATCGAGACTGGTGGTTTTACTTACAAAAACTGAACCTTTAGTAAGCGTTTGGACGTTGACCCATATTGGTTTAACTCCATCTTCAGTTTGTTCCTGAAACAAAAAGTTCCGACGTCGATCAACAATAATAGAAAATACATTTGAACTTATCGAAATTGACCAAATTTAATTCCAAGGATTTGTTGATTGATTTCTCTCATGGCATAGCAAAACATTTAATTTCATTGTGTTACCTGGTCAAGATGGGTATCAATAACTTCATCCACTACGGTTTTCCTCTTTCCAACTGGCGTTCCGTTATTGGATACAACTTTTGTGTCACCTGGTCACGTTAAATATGCAAATCAAATACATACATTTTAGTAAACTATTGTATTGTTATCCAAACAAATTAATTTGTAAGTAATAAGAATAAAGTAAACATACCAAATCTCAATTTTAACAGTATTTTTGGCGCGTACATATCGTCAATTGAAATTGATAGCTTATTCCAAGCATATGATTTTAAAACTAGTTAAACAATGTGAAGACTTTTTACCAACAATTTAAAATTTTAGACGGTTTTGAGGAACTTTTATTAATGGATCGTTCAGCTAAGCCCCATCCCTTGAATATTGCTGCTGAAGTCCCACATGTCCCACAGAACAGCAGCGTGAAGGTACGTAAATATGTGTTTGGACCCCATTGGAAATAAGTTCCAATTGGAACTTTTATGGGCTATCCGGCATCTCTTGAATTTCGTCATTTTTTGTGTGTGTGTTTGTATTTTCTTGTATTTTATGTATTTTTTAATGACTTGTGTTTTTGCTGTAATTTTAAGAAATGTAAATAAATCAATACAATTCAATTCAATTCAATTGTGGGACATGAGCGTATTCTTGGTTGTTTTGATTGTTCGGTCGTAATGTTCAATTGACACTAGGCCGATTATTATGGAGCGGTTCATTATGCATTACTGAAATTTACCTGTTATCTTGTAGAAACGCTTTAGCGGGTCGTCGTCTTCACTATCTTCTGTTTGTTCTTCTTCCTTATTCTCTTCTTCTTCAGTATCCTCTTCTATAGCATCAGCTAATTGTTGATTTGACGTAATCGATTTATTTCTCCGTCTCTCTAAATGCGGCTGATACAAATACCAATCATTTCTTAATTATTTCAACACAATGAACAAACGAAAGCAAGGTCAGTTGTTTTATCTATTCCAATAAATACTGGTTACACATCAAGTGAAGACAGTATACTCTTAGACGAGGAAGACACAGTCAAATGGAGCTACATCATTAACAATAAAGTAATGTACAATATCACAAAAAACCTTTCCACTTCAAGTCTTCTACTCACAACAGCAACACAAATGGATTCCATCGAAATCAGAGAGGAAAAATAATAGCCCACTTTCAACACTGTTCGATGACATCGGCGTGGTAGAAAATCACGAACAATCGTCCAAAGGGCGATATCCGCTAACCAAATCGACAGGTCACAGTTTTTTTCTCTAATATTTCGCGGACATAGACACACTCTAGCTCATAATTAATTAGATGGATAAACATTGCATTTTCATCATTAGACTGTGGATCCAGGGATATGAGTGCCCCTGCCCACGATGAGCTCCATGATCCTTCTGACCTAGAAGGAGTACCTGATAGGGTCTCACCCTGGGTTAGGGGCAGGTAATTTTTTAACCAATAAAACAAAATAATAAATAAATATATAAAAACATAAAATGACATAAAAATTAACTGAATACGGTACATTTGTAAAGCATAATGATAAATCCTTGATCTCAAGTGAACACCAGCAGTGATTTTGTCAACGGATCCCGCTAATAATGGCCATGTGTTTTCTGAGGAAGACACATGGCCGTCATTCGTGAGTTTATCTGATAGATGTAATTACAGAACGCTGATTTTTTATTACTGTATTTAACTTCAAGTTTGATTATAAATAGGCCTACTTACTTTCTTCATTTGCATCGGAAGCGTCGATCGTCTTGTTTTGAATATCTTCGTCCCTTGAATAGCCTTTGTTGCTCCACTACTTCGTCTCCTACCTTGTAAAGTTTGATGTTCCTTCTCGGCCTCACCCTCCTGAAATGAAACTCGCTTGCTATCATTCCTATTGTCCTTTTTGTCGTCTGATTCTCGCTTCTGGTTTCCATAAAGTACTTGAGTGTCGAGATCTTTTAGGAAGCTTTCAAACTCTTCCCGTCTTTTCCGTTGGTCAAAATTTTCAAAGCTTTTTCCTCCAACTTTATCCAGACCATAAATAAGTGACATTCGTTTTCGATATCGCTGATGATCTGGGAAACCATTTGCATCTACCGATAAACAATATCAATCAATAACATTTAGATATAAGCAATTTCTTATATAATAATATGGTAGATCCCACAAAATTCAAGTTCCAGAATTCAAGAACATTTATTGGTCTATAATTATCTAAACTATACAGAAATTTGATAGATGGAGTGACATTAAATCTATTAAAATGACTAACAACAACATACAATAAGTAAAGTGAAAATAAGTAAAATGGAAGCATATTTTCTAACATTAAAGTTGAATATGAAGGATACTATTAAAACAAATGACTTTCTAATTCTGCAGAGTGTACCGTAGGTTTCGGAGGACGTAGCCTTGTTTATTGAATAGCAATTATAGAGAGGGTGACCTGAGGATCCTTCATAATGTTTTCAACTTTTTTTAAAACCCGGTCAGCGTACAGTTTTAATCGGAATGTCTCTCATATTAGAGTTAGTCGGGATAATAAAGAAATGCTACTCGCTTTACCGCTACAGAAAAAGCTAATGAGAAGGGTAATGTATTAAAAAATATATTAATCACAAATTTCTGAATCATACCTGATAAAGAAAAGCGCCGCCTACGACTTTGCTCTGATTCTACTTCCTTCAGTCGTTTCATAACAGAGCAACTACCCTAATAATTAAATTTAGACATTTATAACATTATACTTTTCATAAAATGCAGACCATTTGAACTCCTAATTTCCACAAAAACCAAACTTATACCGTACGGTAAAAAGCATTGTTTTCATATAGGGGATTTTTTTCAGTTGGAATTACATTAGAAATAAGATCTTTTCGGAATACATCAATAAAATTAAGACACAAGATGTTTAGGAAAATATATATGTACTGTAGGCTTACAGGGATAAGTTGTGCAAATAGTTTAGAAATATTCTTACCGATTTCACAATGAGGATCCAATCTGTAGTTTTACTGTTTTTAATCAATACATCACCACGCCTGGAAATCAAATAAAATTGCAATGAGGGATCACTATACTAAAAATGGATACTGTTTGTATAATCAATAATTATGACGCAACTCTGACGTTAGTCAGTTTCATAATGCAAAAAAACAATTTGTAATTTTCAATAGTATTTGCGTTGTTGAATTAAAAAAAATACATCGGTTAATTTGTTATATAGATACCTGTTGAAATGTTCTTTTGAATGATGACAATGTATGCTGACGGTAAACATTTTTAACGGTTTTGCCTACTTCAGTCGATATCAGATAAAGGCACACTTCTAAAATGTGCGTTAATTAGATTCGTTGTGAAGTAGTATAAAGTACACAATTTTAACTCATTCAACTTACTTGAAGTAAGAAAATACGCATTTCTTTCGGTTTCCGACCAACAGGTGTAATGGCCACCCTTCCAAGAATTTTAAATTTCTGAAAGAAAAAAACAATATATCAAAACCCAATTAATTCGTTGGTTGGATTGTCTCCGTGTCAATAACAATAGCGTTTGGTTTTAGTTAAATGATTTATAACCCTAAATCTTTCGAATCCACTAAATTCAGTCTTGTCAAAACAGCTGAGGTGTTTTATTGAAAGGTTTCTTAAAATATATCCGCTTACGATATCAACATTGGACAGTGTTCAATCATGTCTGTACTTACTTAACAAAGTCGTTTTCGGGATCAAATAGTGTGCCAATGCCTCCAGCCATGAATATCTGTACGTAGTTCTGCAAGTTTGTTAAACAAGAGAACATACAACAATATTAGAAATCTCCATGTATATAAGATAAATAGAGTAAATTTACATTTAATCATTACGTTTGAATTAAATTAATTTTTATTCAAAAGTCAGTTAGATACAGCAGTTTATAAGTGGTAAAATGGACGAACTTACGTCAGCATCGATACAAAGAAGTTCAATTCCTTCGCGAGCAATAATCGTCGACTGACGTTGAGCCTTATTTACAATAGCAAGCTCCTGTGGGAAAACGACGTAAATTATATTAAAACATAACAGAAAGTGTTATAAATTGGATTGTTGGAACGATGCCAGCATATAGTCATTAGTAAACATAACAATGTGTTAGGCATGGAGAACACAAGGGTCAAGAGACATTTTATAATGTCGTACAACATTACTTATTGTTATCAGTCACAAAAACATGCATGATAGTAAATAAGTGATAAACGAATAGGATCTGATTTAATACTAAGAAAAATAGTATTCAGTAATTGTGAAAACTTTAATTACCTTGTCCTCGTGTAGATGGTGACGTTACCACAATAAAAAGCAAATAAACATATAAAAACTTTTTATAATATGGAATAATAAATACAAAACTCTTACCCCAAACGTTTCACCCTTATGAAGATAGACTACAGTTTTTGCGAATTGACTCCCTGGTTCTAACACATTAACAAGTACTGAAAAAAGAAAATGTATGTAATCTAGTTAGAGAAAGTCCCTATGTGCTTTGACGAAAAACAAATATTGTCT